TCTTAGTATTGCCATGCCCTTTTAAGGACAATGGAAAACTACAACAGCCCAATCCAGGCAGGATTACAAATGAACCAGACCCTTCAGGAATGAAGATTTGGGTCACTCCACCTGGAAAAAAAACCCATGACCTGCTGAGGTGCTTGCTGAAGGCAAAGGGAATACAGAATGTGTAGTAGAAGAAAGTAATCATCAGTACCAGCTATGGTCAGCTGCAGAAACGAGGAGTGTAATTGTCATGAGTATTTCCTCCTTCTTTTGTTAAAAACACATTTGTGCATGTATACACTTGTTCTAAGAAAATATCTTCATTTTATCTCCTTTCTCCTTTATCATATGACATATTGTCTTCACATCAGCATTTAAGTATTGTTAACTTTATGTAACAGTATTTGGGTTGGGGATTGATGTGTTTCTGGTTGTACGAAGGACAGTTTTATTATGTTAGGTGTAATTATGACCTTATTATTGTCTATATTTGAAAATTATGTATGAACTCAGAAGATATATTTGGGTTGAGGTTGACAAGGAGTGGACTTGTGATGATAATACTGAGTGTCAACTTGATTGGACTGAAGGATAAAAAAGACACACCCTCCTGGGTGTGTCTGTGAGGGTGTAGCCAAAGGAGATTAACCTTTGACTCAGTGGATGGGAAAGCCAGACCCACCCTTAATCTGGGTGGGCACAATCTAATCAGCTGCCAGCATGGCTAGAACATAAGCAGGCAGAAAAATATGAAAAGAGACACAGGCCTAGCCTCCCAGTCTACATCTTTCTCCATGCTGGATGCTTCCTGCCCTTGAATGTGGAACTCCAAATTCTTTAGTTTTGGAACTCGGCCTGGCTCTCCTTGTTCCTCAGCCTGCAGTTGGCCTATTGTGGGACGTTGTGATTATGCTATATATATGTGTGTCTGTGTGTGTGTATATATACATATATTCCATTAGTTCTGTCCATCTAGAAAACCCTGATTAGGCCAGGCGTGGTGGCTAACGCCTGTAATCCCATCACTTTGGGAGGCAGAGGCAGGTGGCTCAGGAGGTCAGGAGATCGAGACCATCCTGGCTAACACAGTGAAACCCCGTCTGTACTAAAAATACAAAAAATTAGCCAGGCATGGCGGCGGATGTTTGTAGTCCCAGCTGCTCGGAAGACTGAGACAGGAGAATGGCATGAACCCAGGAGGCAGAGCTTGCAGTGAGCAGAGATCATGCCACTGCACTCCACCTGGGTGACAGAGTGAGACTCCATCTCAAAAAAAAAAAAAAAAAGAAAAAAGAAAAAACAAAACCCTGACTAATGCACTAATCCACAGGAAGGAGAAAGAGGAAATCCTTCTTAAATTATTCTTTGAAAAAGATGTGACAGATATAAAAAAACAAACAAAAAAATTATTCTTTGAAGCCCGTGTCACCCTAATACCAAAATGAGGGAAGGACACAACAAAACAAGAAAACTATAGAACAATATCCTTGATGAACATAGATGCGAAAATCCTGAACAAAATACTAGCTAACCAAATCCAACAGCTATCAAAAACATAGTCCATCATGTTCAAGTGGGTCGCATACCAGGGTTGCAGAGATGGTTTAACATACACAAGTCAATAAATGTGATATACCACATAAAGAAAATTAAAAACAAAAATCACATGATTATCTCAATAGATGCAGAAAAAGCACTTGACAAAATTCAGCATCGCTTCATGATTAAAACCCTTGGCAAAATTGACATAGCAGAGACATCTCTCATGGTAAGAAAAGCCCACTATTTCAAACCCATAGTCAACATTATACTGAAAGGAAAAAAGTTGAAAACAATTGCCCTGAGAAATGGAACAGAAAAGAATGCCCACTTTCACCACTTCTATTCAATATAGTACTGGAAGTCTTAGCCAGAGCAATCAGACAAGAGAAAGAAATCGGGGACATCCAAATTGGTAAAGAGGAAGTGAAACTGTTGCTGTTGGCAGATAATGTGATCATATACCTAGAAAACCTTAAAGACTCATTCAAAAAGCTCCTAGAACTGGTAAATAAATACAGCAAAGTTTCAGGATACAGAAGTAAGGCACACAAATCAGTGGTTCTGTTATACGATAACAGTGAACAAGCTGAGAATCAAATCAATAATTCAACCCCTTTTACAAATAGCTGCAAAAAATATACTTAGGAATCTACCTAACTAAGGGGGTGAAAGATCTCTACAAGGAAAACTACAAAACACTGCTGAAAAAAATCATAGATGACACATCCCCTGCTCATGAATGGGTAGAATCAATATGTTGAAAATGATCATGCTGCCAAAAGCAATCTACAAATTCAATGCAATTCCCATCAAAATATCACTGTCATTCATTACAGAATTGGAAAAAACAATCCTAAAATTCATATGAAATCAAAAAAGACCTGCATAGCCAAAGCAAGACTAAGCAAAAGGAACAAATCTGGAGGCATCACATCACCCAACTTCAAACTATACTCTAGTAAAGTTTGACTCCATAGTCACTAAATCTGCTTGGTACTGGTACAAAAATGGGCACATAGACCAATGGAACAGAATAGAGAATCCAGAAATGAAGCCAAATGCTTAACAACCAACTGATCATTGACAAAGCAAACAAAAACATAAAGTTGAAAAATGACATCCTATTCAACAAATGGTGCTGGGATAACTGGCAAGCCAAACGTAAAGGAATGAAACTGGATCCTCATCTCTCATCTTATACAAAAATCAGCACAAGATGAATCAAAGACTTAAATTTAAGGTCTGAAACTGTAAAAATTCTAGAAGATAACATCAAAAAATCCCTTCTAGACATTACTTTAGACAAATACTTCATGACCAAGAACCCAAAAGTAAATGCAACAAGAACTAAAATAAATAGATGGGACTTAATTAAACTAAAAAGCTTCTGCACAGCAAAAGAATCAGCAAAGTTAACAGAAAACCCACAGAGTGGAAGAAAATCTTCACAATCTATACATCCACAAAAGACTAATGTCTAAAGTCTACAAAGAGCTCTAACTAATTATGAAGAAAAAATAAACATCCCATCAAAAGATGGGCTAAAGGCATGAATAAACAATTTTCAAAAGAAGGTATACAAATGGACAAGAGACATATAGAAAAATGTTCAACATCACAAATAATCAGGGAAATGCAAATCAAAACCACAATGTGATACCACATTACTACCACAAAATGGCCATAATTAAAAAATCAAAAAATAATAGATGTTGGCATGGATGTGGCGAAAACAAAACACTTTTACACTGGTGGTGGGAAGGTGAACTAGTACAATCACTATAGAAAACAGTGTGGAGATTCCTTAAGGAAATAAAAATAGATGTACCCTTCGATCCAGCAATCTCACGACTAGGTATGTAACCAGAGAAAAAGAAGTCATTACACAAAGAAGATACTTGCACACGCATGTTTATAGCAGCACGATTTGCAATTGTAAAAACATGGAACCAGCCCAAATACCCATAAATCAACTGGTGGATAAAGCAAATGTGATGTATACATCCACATACCAGGGAATATTACTCCCAGCCATAAAAGGAACAAAATAATGGCATTCACAGCGACCTGGATGGAACTGGATGCTGTTATTCTAAGTGCAGTAACTCAGGAATGGAAAACAAAACATGGTATGTTCTCATTCATAAGTGGGAGATAAGCTATGAGAACACAAAGGCATAACGATGATACAATGAACTTTGGGGACTGAGGAGAAAGGGTAGGAGGGGGGTGAGGGATAAAAGACTACACGTTGGGTACAGTGTACACTGCTTGGGTGATGAGTGCACCAAAATCTCACAAATCACCACTGAAGAACTTATTTATGTAACAAAACAACACTTGTTCCCCAAAAACCTATTAAGATAAAAAAATTGAAAAATAATCAAAAAGAGAAAAATCACTAAAACCCTTAAAAACCCAAATAAATAAGTAAATAAATAAATATATAAATAAATGAAAGATGAGAACCTCTTCCACTATAGAGAGAATCGGAGGCAAGAGATGAAGAAGCAAGAATCCCGACAAGCCATCATAGAATCTCCTGTCATCTTAGATGAACATCGCCCCTAAAGTTTGATTTTGATGCACAATACATTGAAACTTGAAAATAAATACAAAAATAAAATCAGAAAAAAATGGCCTAAGGATCCTCAAAGATAATAATGAGCCCTCTATGGGATGGGTACAATTCAGCAACAACAGTGAGAATCTCAAAAGAAGTGTGCAGAGTGAAATAAGCCTGAACAAATGGGAGGATAACGTTTGATAACACTGATACATTCCAGAAAACGGAAACCAAACAGTAGTGACAGAGGCAGATCTGCAACTTCCAAGGAGGGTGTTGGGGGAGGAAGTGAGGTGACAAGGGTCATGAGGAGCTGCTGGGGTTGGTCACAGGTTGTATAGCTCCCGGTGCTGGTGATGTTTTCAAGGATCCAGAGAAATGCCAAAATTTGTCTAATTCCCTATTGTAAATATGGGTGGTTTATTATATGTGCATTATTCTTACATGAAAGGAGTTTTATTAAAAAAAGAATAGGCTTGAGAGAAAGGAAGCACAGGGATTCAAACTGAGGAACAGGGGGAGGAAGGCACCACTCTGGAAACTCCTGGAAATGGGAGAAGGAGGATGATGGAGACACAGGTTCCCCATCAGAGGTGGGTCTGTGATGACACAGCTGGACCTGCCACCTCAGCCCAGGACTTCAGTGCAGACACCCTGTGTCCCAAGCTGCAGGGAACAGAACTTTCTGTTTTCTGGACACCCTGTTCCTGACTCTGAGGACTAAAGGGGAGGAGGAGCCTCCATTCTCAGGCAGAGCCCTGGATGCCCCTGGACCCATGGGGGAAGCTACAGCAGCAGAAGCCGCAGGCCAGGCCTGAGCAGCAGGTGCCAGGGCTCACCCTTCGGGCAGACGAGGAAGGGGGTTCTTGTCTCACTTCCCCCTGGCCCTGGAGCACTGTGGGACCGCTCAGGCTATCATCCCATGCTGCGCAGTAATAATCAGCCTCATCCTCGGTCTGGAGCCCACTGATGGCCAGGGAGGCTGACGTGCCAGACTTGGAGCCAGAGAATCGGTCAGAGACACCTGAGGCTCGCAGATCATCATAATAGATGAGGAGTTTGGGAGCCGTTTCTGGGAGCTGCTGGTACCAGGATACATAATTACTTCCGATGTTGGAGCTGCTTCCAGAACAGGAGATGGTGACACTCTTCCTGGCGGCCTCAGACGCTGAGCGAGGTTGAGTCAGCACAGACTGGGCCCAGGACCCTGGAAATGAGAGAGACACAGACATGGTGATTGACAAGAGACAAAAGGAGACAAGAAGAGAAAGCAGGGTCCTATGGGCTTCCCAGGGCCACTCTCCTGGCCCCAAATCCTGTCACCTGCACAGTGAGTGAGGAGGGTGAGGAGGAGAGGGAACCAGGCCATGCTGGAGATTGTCCTGAGTCCTGCCTTCTGTACCCACAGCTGAAGCTGCGCTTCACCCAAATCTCTCCCTGTCTTCATACTCTGAGAGGGGGAGAGTCCATCCATGCAAATCAGACCCCCCAGCTTTGTGATCCCGCCCTGAGCCCTGGGCCAGGCTCCTCGCTTGAGGATGCCAGGGGGTGGCAGGGGTGGAGCTTTGTGGTCCTAGGGGGTGGGGAGGACGGAGCTGTGAGCCCTGAGCAGAGGACACCAGGCAGGGCAGGTGGCTGGTTCTGCTCTGATCACCCCCAGTCTTCTCAGGAATGATCCCCCTGTGCCCTCTGGTGCCCAGACCAAGGAAAACGTTTCTATGATCAGGTGACCAGAGCTTCTCAGATACACGGCTTCCTCCCCCGATTCTGTCCACTGCCCCCTCTCTCAGGTCCAAGCCAGGCCAAGTGGTGTCTGTGTCTCCTCCCTGTGACTTCAGGGCGGTCTTCACACTCTACTGAGGAGTCTTCAGACTCCTCAGGAGTGAATCTGTCCATGGCTCTTTGGCTGTACATTGTAGAGGACTCAGGTGGTGTCTACATAAAGTCCTATGTCAGGATCAAGCCCAGAGCAGGGACCAGCCCCATGAACTCACTTCCCCACTTGTGTGGAACACCGGGTCCTCTCCTCTCATATGGCTCCTTCCTGGTGGCCAAAGCTCCACTTCCTCTGTGGATCCTGCAGCGCTGAGGTGAGAGGGAGCTCTTTCCTCTAGGATGCCCTGGGGAGGAATTCCCAGAGGGTTTTTCTGGTCAATCTTTGTTCTCTCTCTACTTCCCCAGATTTGCAGTCATAGTCATTTGGATACTGTGACCAGGGATCTTGCCTAGGAGTCTGTCCTCCAGCACTGAGTGCGCATCTGCAGCGGATCCTGACAAATGACTCTGGAGTGTTTCACTTATGAGCAAAAAGAGCAAAGATGCTCAGTCTTTGAAGATGGGAGGAATTAAAACTTCAACTTGGTTTGATCAGAGTCTGTCCTCAGGTGAGCCTGATACACGGTAGCTCTTAGCATCGAGCACCCCAGCTAGGATTTTCAGGGAAAAATTATGGTTCACATTTAGTAGTGAGTGTTGCAGGGCTGGGGGAGGGGGGAGGCGGGGGTGGGGCTTAAAGATGATAAATATTATTTGATCTGTAATGACATCTAGAATCTAATAAGCTAAAAACAACCAGCTTAAGAAAAAACGTAATTCTGTTGATCAAAATGAAAAATGAAACAGGTTATGTCTATGACTGCGTGATTTCTAGCATGATACACCCTGGACTCTTAACAAATATTTGTTTGGGGAATTTTATGGGGATGGAGGAAAACAGCTGGATGGTTATGTTGATATTTCCACTGGTGAATGTATCACCAGGCAGTTGCAGTAGAATGAGATTTTAAATGCTCCATTTAAAAATGGAATAGTGAGATTTATTACAGACATTTAAATAAAACCAGTCCATATATGGAACTGAAATATAATGTATGCTTTGTTTTGGGATTGCATTTCAAGCGTGTCATTACTTTAAATGTTCCTTTTAGTGTAAGCCATGTTCCTTTACATAATTTTTATAGTTTAAAAAAAATGGTTACTGCATTTACATAACACATCAGGCATATTAAGTTTTATTTATTTCCAAATAGAAACAAACTATTAGATCTGGGCTTCGCTTCCTGTTTCCTTCTCGTTGCTGTCTCTTTGGTGATGCATAGGTGTCCACAGTGAATTTTGTTTTCCTTTCCTCCCACTTTAATGAACAGGGGGTCACTGAGGCTGAGCAGTGTCTCACATACAGGACAAGGCTGCCCATGGCCCCCTCCCTGCCCATGGATGCGCTTCCTGGTGGGTGCCCCATCAGCTCTTAGGCTGAGGGCAGAGAGAAGAACAGGTCCACAGCTAAGGAACCTGGACACCCAGAGAATCCGGGAGGGACCAGCTGGGACAGTGAGCCCTGGACAGAGGACACTGACCATGGATTTTTTATGTGATCCTCCTCAGGGACCCTCAGAGGCAGACCAAAACCTCAATCCCCATGTGTCTTTAGGGCCCAGGTCCTTCCAGGTCTTCCTTTTATCACCGCAGTAGGCCCCGGGCTGCCTCCTCCCATGAGTTGCAATGTACAGTCTCCTCTTTAGGCTGCACCCTCCTTATCACATCTGACCCCACACCTGTCTCCTCATCCCCCCATAAACCATCCCCTGCTCACTTCCATTAGCATTTTTGCATCACTCTGGGATCACAGCCTCCCCGAGGATGTCTCTGCAGGATATCCATGTTGCAGAGAGCTCAGCCCCTTGACAGGACAGCTGGGCCTGGGCCACCCAAGACTGAGCATCTCTCTTGCTTCTCTTCTACACCAGCTCTACGCCAAGCCAGATTCAGAACTTTCAGAATGCTGAGCCCACGTTTTCTTAAGCATCAGACTTCCTCTCTCACATCTGTGGGTCCCACAGGCTGGATTCTTCATTCTCGTCATTTCTCCCAGTTTCCGAGCTCAGGAAATGGTCAGCGTACCTTCACCAAGAGGAGGGGACACCTGTGGGACCAATCTAAGGGCTCCTGGGCCTCTGAGTCACACAGGCTGGATTTTTTCTTGTCCCTACCTCATCCACACCCACCATGTGTGGGTAGCTCCTTTTGTTTCTAGAAACAATTTGATTCTGTTTGCACTCGGAGACCAGTAAGAAAAGGAATTTTTTTTACTGAACTTTCTAGTCTGTTTCAGTAACACAAGTGACAGCAGAAGCCTTGGCATGAACTGGTGTTGGTCACAGGCAGGGATAAAGGAGGGACGGGCAGAGAGGATGAGTGAGGCGGATCTTCTCTCATTTCCCTGTGGAACAGGAACCTTTGGCAACATGGAGTCAGGATGCAGCTGTGTGACACTGATAACCAGCCAGGTCCTCAGGCTGGAGCCCAGAGGTGGTCTAGGAGGCTATGGGAATAAACCCAGAGCAGGAGGATCAGGCTGGGACCCCTGAGGGACCATCACTGCTGTCCTAGGTCATAAACTTAGAGGCTCTCTCTGGGAGACCTCCATAGCCGTTTACATAGAAATGCCCAATGTTTTTGCTGCTCCCTGTGCAGAAAAAGGTGACCTTGAGATGGGGGCTCCTCAAGAGTTTTCCGGGGAGGAGTCACTTGAAGCAAATATTGGGCGGTTTCTGTACCCAGATATTCCACAGACTCACCACTAGACCCTGACTCAGCGAGAAGCTGCAATGGTGTAAGACAGGAGAAGAGAACACAATCAGGCCCTGAGGGATGAGGAAACCCACCCTCAGCAGTCGCCGTGGTCCTGAGTGGGATGAGCTGCAGGAAAGTCACATCCCTGGGACCTACCTCCCCCGTGGCCAAGGAGCAGCCTCAGCCTTGTCTCAGCCATGGCGGAGCCTCCCCTTGACTCTCTTATGTCCTACACAGAACTTTACTGGCCCCAGGTCTGCAGTTACCCTCAGACCTAACCCCATCTCCTGACATTTCCACTGAAATGCAGGTGCCCAGGACTGAGCCAGGTCAGCTCTGTATCTGGAATTCCTCCCTGACCTGCATCCTCAGGCAGCATTTCATATTTGAGTGGCTTGTTCCTGGGACACAGTAAGCCTCAGACAGCCCTGAGAACAGACTACTGGGGATGGAAGGGGAGGTCTCTGCTTGTACGCTGGAAGAGCAGAGTCCATGCTGCAGGGGACTGTTCACCTGCTACCATGTCCCCAGGCTCTGAGCATGATGTGAGCTTGGAAAGCCTCATTTTGCTTCTTTCAAAACAAAAGTCCAGCTCCACAGGCACTGGTGTCAGCACACATGGACACGCAGCCAACGCTTCAGGGTCATCAGGTGGTTTCCTTTTGTTCTGTTTTTGTTTTACTGAGACATCAGAAAAATGGATGGGAAATTGACAGAAGAGCCTTTAACAACTAGAAAGTACATCCAAATGTAGTTTGTGCCTAGGCCAGTTATTTTAAAATTTAAAAATTGTTACAGAGCAAGACCCAGAGCAGGGTGAGATTTTGTCCCACTTCCCCATCTGTGTGTGTCACTGTGAGGACCGCTGCTGTGCCCAATGGCACAGTAATAGTCAGCCTCATCCTCAGACTGGAGCCCAGAGATGCGTAAAATCCCTGTGTTCGCCGAAGCATCTTTGGATCCAGAGAAGCGACTGGGGACTCCAGAGCCCTGGTGCTTATCTGAGTCTGATTTGTACCTCAGAAGATACCGGGGAGGACTCCCTGGCTTCTGCTGGTACCAGTGTATGTAGTAGCCAGCAACATTGATGCCACCGCTGAAGGTGCATGTGAGACTGGCTGATGCTCCAGGAGATGCTGAGAGGGAGGCCGGCTGAGTCAGCACAGGCTGGGAGAGGGAACCTGCAAACACAGACATTACTGGGTGCTAAGACAGAAACCAGGGTCAAGTTTTTCAGGGATCTTTGCCAGAAGAGTCACAATCGGGCTGAGGTGCTGGCCCTGGTCTCTGAGGCCTGTTCCTACCTGTGCAGTGAGAGAGGAGCAGGAGGAGGAGAGGAGTCCAGGCCATGGTGGACCCAGTCCCTGACACCTGCAGTGGAGCTGGGCTGCCCCAGGCCTCCTTTTCTTCCCACCCTCTGCAGAGGAGGGGCTGCTCATGCAAATGTGTTTCCACCCAGGGACTGCCCAGCCCCTCCCTGAGGCCTGGGGGTGCAGCTCAGCTCACTCTGCAGCCTGAGGAGGAGGACGTTTTGCTTTTCCCCTTGGGAGGGCTCTAGAAGAAAACACCTACTGAAACCATCCACACGTTCCTGCTCAGGAGACTCTGCCACACCATGGGAGGACATAGATGCTAAGTCCCCATCAGTGAGCACAGGGTCTTAGCCCCTAGTCTTGGATTTCTTTGAGTGAATGGTCCTTACTGAGCTGTGTAGGGACCATAGGGCAGTCCCCCTGCATCCCATGCTGGTTAGAGGACACTCACCTCCCCACGGCCCAGCTGATCTCTGCAGCTTATTAGTCACTGTCTCTACTCACACCTCCGTGGTCTGATTGCTGGA